GGGGGGGGGGGGGGGGGAGGAAAAAGTGAGGCTGATGAGAAAAGATCGGCAGTGGGTTTGAAATATAATACAAGAGAAGAGGGAGAGAAAGCTATGGGGACAACAGTGTGAGAGAGGAACGTCTGGTCATCAACAGTACAGTTAAAATCCTGCTTTTCTCCCTCAACTACAGCTGATTCCTTCAACAGTCCTGCTGCTGACACAGATGCAATAAGTTACTTGTTTATTTGAGCATTTCGTTCATCAGCTGTCTTCATCTTCTCAGTCTGGAAGCTGTTTGGCTGCTTGATTTGGTGGAGAACAATTTTAGAAACTTTGACTGTAAAGTTGCAAGTCTATGGTAGTAATGCTATGGTCATTGATGGATTACTGTACGAGTGTACTGGGCACAGACCCAAAGGCCGAAAGTGTCCGGCGCACTCCTGGCATCGATCAAAGAGACACGTACCAACCAGGAAGAGACTCAAGATGATCCCAAAGAAACAGCAACAAAGACATGAAAACAACAACTACAAAGAGAAAAAAAGGCAAAAAATAAGTGCAAGAAGACCAAAACAATTACAAATAGACACAAAATTACAACAAATAGACACAAAACGACTACAAAGAGACGGAAAACGACTACAAAGAATCACAAAATGACTACAAAGAGAAACAAATCAATTCAAAAGAGACGTAATGCAACTACAGAGAGATGGTAAATAACTACAAAGAGACAAAACGACTACAGAAAGGGGAAAAGCAATTTCAATCACACAAATAAAACCCATAGACACACAACATTACTACAAAGAGTCTTGCTCCTATGTAGGAGGTGGGGGGGGCATTGCCTCATAATCCACCCACGATTATGGTCATACCATTCGCAATTATACGTTAATAATACCTGTGATGACTTCGGTTGTGTAGTGTGTGGGCCTACTTGAGTAACACTTTGGCTGTGTTTTAGTCCTGATCTCATCTCCTTCCCTCTTTCCTTGTCCCAGGCCTCAGCAACATCATCGGAATCATTGTGTACATATCAGCCAACGCCGGGGACCCTTCCAAGAGCGACTCCAAGAAGAACAGCTACTCCTACGGCTGGTCCTTCTACTTCGGCGCCCTCTCCTTCATCATGGCCGAAATGGTGGGCGTGCTGGCCGTGCACATGTTCATCGACCGCCACCGGGAGCTGCGCGTGGGGGCGCGGGCCGCCGACTACCTCCAAGGTGCGGCCATCACGCGCATCCCCAGCTACCGCTACCGCTATCGACGCCGCTCACGATCCTCGTCCCGCTCCACGGATCCCTCACACTCCCGCGAGGCATCACCAGTGGGCCTGAAGGCCTTCGGGGCACTGCCCTCCACCGAGCTGTCCATGTACACGCTGCCCAAGGGCCAAACGGGCACGCCAACAGCCACCTATAACTCCATGGAGAGGGACCACAACTTCCTGCAGGTCCACAACTGCATCCAGAAGGACCTGAAAGACGGCGGCAACGCCGCCAACCGACGCACCACACCTGTATGAAACTGAGAGAGGGACCTCAGACACATAACGGAACCAAAGGGAATGTTTTTGGGGGGTGGGGGAGGGGGAGGCGGCAAAAGACGGACGCAAGGAGACGGAAGTAGGAAGAGGGCTTAAAATGGATAGATGGAGTGAGGGCTAAGAAGGGAAGCTCTGAGTGCTACACAGCCTCTCAGATGATCCCTGAGTTTCTGTTTAAAAAAAAAATAGGAAACAAAAATGCATAAAAAAGAAACGTGCATGATTTTCCCATCTACCATTGTTTAACGAGTTTTGAACCTGTTTGTAAAGACTTGAGGGGAGGACGGGGACGGAGGAGCTGGGTGGCCGGTGGTCGGCTGTGAAACACTAGCGGTGGGCCGAGCCAGACTGCCCGATAAAAAGTGAACTTCATATTTTTTACTCTTCTTCAGTCTGATGAAAAGGGGGCGTGGTTGTCCCCCATCGGCCCCACCTATGATCCCGCCCTCACTCCGCCATCCCACAAGCCCCCCAACATACACACACACACACACACACACTGACCTCCCGTAAAACCCCCACTCCTCTCTTTAGTTGCTGTATCTTCTTGATTTCATTCTTTATTCGCATTAATACTGTGAACCGTTGTGGTGAGGGATGTTAGCAGGGAGCAATTCAGGCCGCAAAAAAAAGAAAGAAAAAAACAAAACAGGAAAAAAAAGTTAATATATGTATTGATTATATATAAATATATGAATATATATGTTAATAAATCATGACTAGACTTCCCTGGCGCAAAAATATCAACAAGACAAAAAACAGAGACAAGTGAGCCTGAATGATCGTGGAGGATTCTTCGCTCCTCTTACGTGATGAACTGATGTCGGTTAGCATTAGACGCATTAGACGCATTCTTTTACAACGGAAACAAATCTTTTGGCCTTCCGCCGAAGCCCTGGCAGCGAATCCTCGTTCAGGGTCGACCCGAGGCGAGAGGTTGACCTCACTGTTTTTTTTTTGTTGTTTTGTTTTGTGCTCCATGAAGAGGGAACTCTGGGTAATGGAGGATCTCTCAGCAAACTTGAAGAAGAACATGTGGATAATAAGACGCCGCTGCTGCCAAAGACACAAAGTAGTGCGTGAGGAGAACATGGCTACCGGCGAGGTGAAGCTATAGTGACTCCAAACAATTAAGAATTTACATGCATGCTAATCAAAATCATCCGATCTGCTTTTAAGGAACTTATGTTTTGAACAATTGAACAATGATACCATGTAAGGGCAGTTGGAGGTGACAAAGTAGAAATTAATGTTACAAGTACTGTGTCTATTTTAGTTTTTCTTTTCTTTTGTTTGAGTGGGTAATTTGGGGGTGGGGCTTCATTACGCTTTAAACAAAAAGAACGAGCTTTGGAGAAGGTATCAAGGCTTTTTTTTAATCTCGGCTTTTCATTTCTTTTCTCGGTTCCTTTGAACTCTCACACAGCCTTAGTCTCTTTCTTTGTCTCATTTTTCTTGTTCTTTGGTTTCGCGTTGTGTTGTTGTAAATGAGAATTCCAACAAAAAGAAAAAAACAGAAAAAAAAAAAAACAGCGTAATGTCTTTCAAGGTGCCAAAACTGAATGATTCTGAACTTGGATGCATCAAGTCCTGATGACGAATAAAAATTGAACCACCCCGTAGGGAACAGAAAGAGTGCTTGTTGTATCGTGTTTGGTTTACGGAGTCACTTTGACCAGCGGACATTTAGGATTTTAGGCATTTTAGCAAGAAAGAGAAACATTTCTCGTGTTTATACTTCAGAACAAGATTCATTTTGTGATTTCAGCGGAACCGTACAGGCTGCTCTCGTCCAGCACGTGTAGCTGTACCGCCGATAAATAATTGAGCTTTCATTCAAAAATATCCCACAAAATTATTCCAGATGTTATTCACGGGATCTTGAAGCAGGAAGTGGAAATAAAGCCCGGAGGTGGTTGGGTTTAGTTCTTCATGTGAAACCAGAAGTTGATGTTTTTGTCACGTAACTTGCGAAACAGCACTTCGGGAGTTATTTAAACTAAAACCACCATCTATCCCAAAACCAATAGTTGTGTTGCCTGAACCTAAGTGGTTTAGTTTCCTCAACTTAAATATGTTAAGTTCAGTTGTATCAACACTTGATTCATGTAACGAGCAGAAATTGACACGTGTTGCTGGACTTTCGTTGTAAAATGAGGAATGACTTTACGTCATATATACGAACCGTCGTACGAAGATACGTTGAACCGTAACACGTCCATGTTTCAGAGGAATAACGTCGTTGCATGGAACGCAGTGACTGGGCTTTCCGATCTCACGCTGCTCAACATTTTCTCACAGAGAACATTCAAGTAGCTCGATCTCGTCGAGTTAACGGGGGGTAGAAACATGCAGCAGCACGTTGCAGCAGAGCCGAGACTTCCTCGGGGTGCAAACATGTTGGTGGGGATTATTAATGATGTTACACACACTGTGGGTAGAGTACACTCTCTCCTTTTGTCTCTCTCTACTTTTTCACTTTTCATGTGCTGACTCCCCCTCTATCTTCCCGTTAGCTCTCCATTCGCCGGCTGCAGAAGAAATGTCATAATCATCATCAGCCTCGATGTCCTGCTGCATGATCTCTATACGTGCCGTCTCTCTCTCTCTCTCTCTCTCTCTCTCTCTCTCTCTCTCCTCCCCTGGTGCGGTGATCAAAGTGGCTGGCATGTCTCTCTGCAGCACTGCTGTGATCACTGAAGAGAGGCGAGCGAGGGAGGGAGGGAGGTGAGGAGAAAGAAAAAGGGAGTGGAGGAGCCTGAATCAAGCAGCACCACAGCGCCCCCCTCTGGTGTGGAGGTACAGCATGATTTTATTAGTGTGTGAACTCTGTGAACATAAAGTCTGAATTGACCGGTCCACTATATTCAAGCTGCTATTATAAACAGTTATATATAGCTGATTGATAGATATATATATATCTATTGAATAATCATAGACTAACACTGAATTGTAATGAATTTGTAAAACGATGCATTTTTAAAAGCCGCGATAAGAAGCCTAAATAAATTTACATTTAAATTATTCGTTATTGAACACCAACACTAACAAGTCAATTGAATGTGGCTTCATTGGCATAAAGGATTCAATTAAGTAATTACAACACATTCAATGCATATGACATCAATGATTCATATGAGAGTAAGCAGAATAATAATGGAGAAATTAAGTCTACTAATAAAGTGTTGATATTGATAAAATGGCCAATCAGAGCCACAACTGACCCCCCCCCCCTTCCTTAAATATGAAACAACCACAATATGGAAAACTAGTAAAATGATAAAAGTAGGAACAATAAAACTGAGTGACAAAAGTAAAAATGTGTTGGGGAAATAATTTGATTAGTGAGCTTTCAATGTGCTGTTGAGCTGCAGATTTTGTTACCTTTTGGACGAAGTCGTTGTGCTAAGCTAAGCTAAGCTAAGCTAAGTGGCTGCAAACAGACAGATATCAGGGCCCTCTATCAGCGATCTATCTGCCAGAAAGTCCTTATGTCCCAAAATGTTGAACTGTAAAGTGCACACATTTTGAAACAAATGGTTCCAAACCAGTGATTTAGTAAACATGTCGGGCTGCTGTTTACGATTATCATTTATTGCTTTTGAGAAGCTCATATCAGTACCTGCTGGAATTTTTTAACATTGGTCGCACTTTCTTTTCATTTCAGCGCATCGGCACATCATTTAAGCGCACGCAACAATGTTCCCCACACATTTTGGTGCTGCAATAACACATTTCAAGCATTACCTATGTTTTGTCAGTTCCCACACACGTTGATGGAAGTGATTGTAAATCAGGAGCTTTGCATCCCTGCCCTGCATTGCAAAGGAGTGTAGGTGAAGAAAACACGTCAAAGCTTTAATAGCTGCAGTCCTACCGTGTGAAAAAGGTCTGTTTTTAAGTGCAATTCCACAGACTATAAAGAAGTGGACGAAGTGGACCCACTGATTTGTGGACTGATGTTTTGAAGCCTTGAGTTCGGCGATTTGGCCGTTACTGTTGTTGTTTTTTTGCAACCAGTAAACAGGAAGTGACCATATCTGGACTGAGGAGGAGTGACGTAGAGACGCCGTATACGTCTTTGGTAGAGACCTGTCAATCACCGTGTAGCCCCGCCCTAAAGCATCCC